AAAACCCCTTTTATGAAACAACTGTGAATTCCTTTCATTCACATTCAGCAAAGGCCAGGCAAACAGTCTTTCAAAGGAATATTTATGACCACAGACCTTATGTATCTTGGAAAGCTGCCATGTCAATATTTCCCAAAGGAGGTGCTGTGCAAGGAAAGACTTGGCACAGAGTCTCTGAGATTCAGGGACAGATCTTCACACTCCTGAAATGAATCTGACAACCAACCGAACGAATTGTTTCCTGCACTCCTCTTTTGCTCTTCTTTTATATCCTATGGGAGGGGCCATTCACCATCCACCTGCGGCTTTATTCCCAAGTTGACCCTGATTTCTTAGCTGTTCTTTTCTTCGGGCAGCTCTGTGCATGCGCACACTGGGAACAGGCTCCAGCTGTTCCTCTGCCTCATTGCTGTCTAGCTCCGTAGGCACCTGATCACTGCCAGATGGCCTCGGCCTCGTCTCTGCTTCTGGTGCAGAGCCCTCGTCTGAGCCTTCTCCAGCCTCCAGGACTCACCCAACCTCCTCAATTTCCGACTCTGCCACCAGCTCTGCTGGCAGGTCAAAACAGCTGCCCCCTTCCCTCTTTGCAATGCATTTAGATTGACATTCCCAGCCAGTTGACTCCTAGGAGCTCGGAGACACGTCTGCTGATGGCCTGGTCTCTTTTTCTCTTTCTGACCAGGCGTGGGAATCACCATGGTCGTCATCTCCACCTTTGTGACCATCTATTACAACGTCATCATTGCCTACAGCCTCTACTACTTGTTCGCCTCCTTCCAACGGGTGGTGCCATGGAATGACTGCAACGCGACGTGGGCCGATCACAGATGCAGCAAAACGCCACTGGGTAAGTCGGTGGGAAAGCGAAGAATCCCTCGGCCAAACCCACATGCGTTTCCCTTCTTCTGTGGGTGAAGCCACTTTTATCTGCCCAGTGCGGTGCGCAGATCAGATCAGAAAATGCTTTGGTTTTCTTTCGTGATAAAAACACATGGCAGGGTTACCAAGCTGAGCTGGAGGCAGCGTCTGGGGTGGGGACATGCAAACGAGGAGGTGGGGTTATGCAGATGAGCACAGTCCTGATCCTCACCAACAAGGCTTCCTCCAACAGCCAGATAGGGAAATGCATATTTATTTTATTTTATTTTATTATCAAGATTTTTATTAGATGAACATTACAAACATTGGAGACAGTGCAATATTTCTGGCGTAAACATTTCCATAGAGTGATTAGACCTTGTAACAATTATAGTTTATATCCGTTACATAGGTGTAGGTAGCCAGTCAGATTCCCTAGACAGGGAAATGCATGTTTTGCAGCTGTTTTAGTCCCTCGCATTATTTCCCATCTTTGCATGAAAGCAGTTTTCATCCCTTTCGTTTGGAGTGTTGACTAAGAATAGCAATAGCAATAGCAGTTAGACTTATGTACCGCTTCATAGGGCTTTCAGTCCTCTCTAAGCGGTTTACAGAGTCAGCATATCGCCCCCAACAACAATCC